GCAAAATAAAATATTTTCATAGCAAATGCATTTGCACATGTCAAAATTCTAGTTTAGCTTAAAGCATATTGAAATTTGAATTGTTGTATTGATATTTATCCATATCTCATAATTTGTTTTAGAAAATAACCTTATTATTTTATATTTATATCTTTTACAATACAAATTGTGATAGGCGTTTAATTTTTTTATTAATAATAGATACTTGATTAGTGAGCTCCAATTATACACTCATGCGTAGTTTAAAATGTTCTATGAAAGGAAAAAAGAAAGGAAGGGAAAATTACTTATATGCCCCTCAATTTCTATTGGTATGTGAAAATGTCCTTCAAACTTTTTGGTACTCCAACTAAAGTTTTCAAAAGTATATATATGTATATATATCTTACAACAAAATTTTCGATGATAGTAAATCTTTAAAGCATTACATTGTCCGCACCTTCATTTTTTGAGGCTCTTTACAGTAAAATCGCTAGGATGATAATTATCTTTGAAATGGACGTCCAAGCTAAAAGGGCACATATCCTATCTCATAATCACTATAATCTTTATGTGAGATCTCATTTCAACATCAATGTAGGCTCATGAAATAACATGATGTTAGCTCGCTATTATGAAACCCATTAAAGCTTGCGCAATGCAATGCTTGATCCTTTTGAAAACTGATTGCAAATATATATATATATATTTGGGAGTCATTTTAACCTACTAGCTTGATCCTTTCATTTGTAAAACGAGATGTAACACTTACTGTTTATTCATTTATTTTCTCTAGAGAAATAAACTGGAATTTTAGCAAACTTATCAAAGAATAATGAAGGCGTAACTGGAGCTGGCCTTCTTGTACATCATGTTAGACTGTGATCCCAATATAGAATAGAAATAATTCACTGTGTAGTATTGATTGTTGGATTCTTAGATTTTTATAATCATGCTTTTAAATGAAAAATGTTAATTTAATTACAAACTTCTAATAGTGTGTGCGTGTGTACGTGTGTAAATCCATCCTTTGGATTGCATTAAACTATTTTGATATGAACATATTAAAAGATATTACTTTGTAAATGACGTGATGCATCAACCCCATTATGTCCCCATTTTTTAGGATATGTGAAAATAAAGCATTTGCATGTTTAAATGCATTGAAGGAAAACATGAAAAATTTTAGGGCTCTTAGTATCCTTGAGGATACCATTATATGAAAATGTGCAAAATAATGAAAATATATAAGAACTAGGATACAGAACATCCAAAAAAATGTAAAATATCTAATCATTAGCTATGCGCTCTTCAAAAATTTTGTTCCTCTTTATTGAAAAATTAATAATTTCCCGAAAATAACAGGGTGAGAATTTCCCATATACATCCAAAAAAAATGAAATTTACATGCTACGTATAACCACACATTTTATTTTCTCCTTTCACCAGTGAAAAACTCTTCTCGCACCGTAATATTTATTTTTCCTAACTTTTCCGAGCAACCCAACATAGAAATCGCAATGATTTCACAGAACAGCAATCATATTAATTCACAAGTGCTGCCGGGACCTCTTTCTGTATTGATTGCCTAGCTAATTCAGTCTCTCTCTCTCTCTCTCTCTCTCTCTCTCTCTCTCTCTCACATTTGCCAATGGCTTCACAGTCGCTGGTGGTTGTCATTTGCCAATGGCTTCACTGTCGCTGGCCCCACTAATCAACCTCCTAAATTAAGCTTAATTAGCCCAGAAAGAGAAATAAAGAGAGGGAGCAGTCAACTGAGCTCCTGAGACCTACAAATTAAGGAAGAGAGAGTGTTAGCAGTAGTTGAAAGCATATTGTGGTCCTCAATCAGAGCATATAATGATGCATTACGAAAATAATAATCTCTAAATCAATTCATTAATCTTTATATATCTACTAATTCAAAAATAGATATGCAATACACAAATAAACAGGACGAATCTGGATTATTGGATATATTCTTGTGGGCATAGCATTAATCTGTTTGAACCGATTAAACTGGTCAAATTTCGTTCAGTTTTAGAATACTGTTCAGATTAATTTGTATTAAAAAAAATTACTGAGCCTGCACTTCTCTCTCTCGGTTCTCTAACACCCGCATCCTTAATTTCTTTCTTTCTTTCTGTTTCCTTTGGTTCATTAATTTCCTTCTCTCTTTTGTATAGGTCGTTATTATTTACGTCTTCCTTCCGTTGGTGTAGTCTTGACGTGTGTTTCGTGTTGAGCAATAAAATAGTTTATTTTCTTATCTGAGTGGGATTAAGCTCAAACTGAATAAATCGAACCGAACCGAAACAAGCTAATTTAGTTCGGTTTGACTTGACTATGTGTCTATAAAGATTCGGTTAGATTTGATAAAAATTTATCAAAGCTAGTCAAGCTGTTTATTCAGCAGTATCTTCCCAACAAGATGACGCAGCGCAGAAGTAGTAGCCTCAGAATCTACCAAGGACAATCTTCGAATACACGAAGAGCTTCGAACCCACGAAGTAAATATTGAAAAAAAAACAAAATTTTATTACTTAAAAGTTATGTCTTTATGGCTTACAAGAATCTACTTAAATAGAAAAATAAACAAGACTTCTACAAGAACTCAAACTACTACAAGGACTCAAACTTTACCAAAAATAGTAAAAGAATTCCTAAAACATTAAAACTCCTAAAAAGACTCCTTATGACTAGGAAAGTCCACCGGTCAAATCTGAGATCAAATCGGATTTGTTTCCTAATCAATATAGACTCGTAAAACATTACTAAAAATAGTAAAAAAGGACAAAATACATATATCTCAAACCGTAAGAAATTTGGCGAAACTAAGGAAGCAAACCGAACCCTTAGGGGTGGGTTTGGTTGGCTCCATCTCGTCGAGATAGTCGATTTTCATATATAATTCGTCCAATTCCGACGTACAGTTTGAAAGTTATGGTCAATTCTTCATAGCAAGTTATTTTCCTCGACTAGACCCGCGTTTGAGCTTGCGACTGTCCCACTTTGACATAAACATGTCTGTCGTGTGTTCTACATCACAAAAGAGGGGGTAATGGAGCAAAGAGAGATTGATTTAGGAGCTTCTAGAAACAGAGCAAGGGAATTGATTCAACAGTTGGTTGGTGATCATGACGTTACCATAATCATACTTCTAGCTAGGAGTCGGGATAGGAACACTCTGCTTGTGAGATGGTGGTTTAGTTGCTCAATTTCACGACTCTAGGGGGTAGAGAATATTCTAGTTTTTCATAGAGCTTTTGTTGTTTTTGGTTTTATTTATTTATTTATTTATTTTTATTTTTATTTTTGGGGCTTGCCATCTTCCGGCTCAAGCTTGGTTTGTTTGTGCCGTTTTCTCCCGTAATATTAATTACGGAGTGTTTAGTTGAGCTCTTTCCAATGGAATGCATGATACTCACCGATGAGAGGGGGACCCGCCAAATGATGAGCATGGGTGTGGGTGTGGGTGTGGGTTGCGGCCCCTGGTCTGGGGTGTACTCCGATCATTATGGGCGCAAATTGGGTGCTGATGGTGCGAGGAGGTTGGACTGCGGCCCCTGGTCCGGCGTGGGGTGTACTCCGATCATTATGGGCGCAAATTGGGTGCTGATGGTGCGAGGAGGTTGGACCCACTCCTGGTGGCACGTGCGAATTGGTCCCACCCAAGCGAGGCGAGAGAGAGAGAGGGGAGTGGAAGTGCTTCACACACCCGTACGTTGCGCGAGAACAATCTTACGTGTCTCTTCTGAAAAAAGATGAAATTTAATAGCTAGGAAAATAGGCGCTCATAATCTAGTGCTCTCTCATCGTACTAATGATAAATTAAGTTCAAGTACTAATGGAAAATATATTGGTGGCATAAGCATTAATTACAAATTTGAGGGTTCAGACGCCCCCCTGCTCATGAGTAAGAAAGTCATTCGATTTTCTTTTTTCTTTTTTTTTTTAAATTTCTGAATAACTTTGGGTATAATTTTTTAATAATATCAGGAAGCTAATGTCTTGCATGTCCAAATTGAGTTTAAACTTCTATAAGGGTTGTTTGCCTGACGGGAAATAGAGCAGCAATAGCAACAAATTAATGTTATAGCCAAATTTATATTTTTAATGCTTAGTAATTAAGCAACAAAGCGGAGAAATTCAGCATTTTACAGCTGCTTGCTCTTTAGGTCAAGCTCAAAAAAATTCTGATTTTCTAAGATAATCAATTTGGATAATTTACAAGAGGTTTAGAATTACAGGTACACCCTCAGGCACACCACCAACCACACCACCTCTCTATCTACAGTGCAGGGGGGCCCACATCAGATTTTTTTAAAAAAATCTGATGTGGGGCCCCATGCACTGTAGATAGAGAGAATGTGTGGTTGGTGGTGTGTTGAGAGTGTGCCTGTATCATTTTTCAAACAAAAAAATGATTTTTTTTTCGTTTGGGAGATTTGTACAGTTGCCTTTTGACCTCAAATATCAGTCAGCTGCATGTTCCAGGTCCATTAAACAGTAATTATGGGAATGATAATAAAAAGCTGGTGGGGTTACAAGCTGTTGGGGTCCAAAAGCAAAGCATGTACAATTCTAACTAGAGAAGAGTTAAGATGAGAGAGAGAGAGAGAGAGAGAGAGAGAGAGAGAGAGTTGTGGTTGGCTGTTGGAGGATGCTGTTCTGTTACGTCAACAATAAAATCTCACAAAATCCCGTTCTCTAAGACTTGCTTTTTTATTTATCTGTCCCTTTCCTTTTATTCCTTCTCTCTTTACCTTTTTTTCTTTTTTTGCCCCTCCCTCTCTCTCTCTCTCTCTCTCTCTCTCTCTCTCTCTCTCGTTTTTGTGTGTGTAAAGCTAGCCAGGGCCACTGCCCGCGCCTGTTCTACCGCCAAAAAGCTGCTTTTCCCGCGTTTCCTCCATCCATCACTGTCACTCTCTCTCCCCTCTCCAATATCTCTCTTTATTCTCTCTCCCTCTTTCTCTCAATATATCTCTTGCATATCTTCTCTCTCTCTCCCCCTCCTTTACCCTAGCTAGCTCCAATACTGTTTGTAGCCAGGTCCTCGGGATCCAACAACGATTTGATCCGATCCGATTTTATTTGCAGTGGCAACGAAAAAGGCCAAGCACGTCGAGGATCTGCGGTCATCGATTCCCGAGGCTTTATCTTAGATTTGATCTTCATCAGTAGAGCTTGGTAAGTTTCTAGAACTCATTCCCAGCTCTCTCTCTCTCTCTCTCTCTCTCTCTCTCTCTCTCTGCCCTCTGCGTGCGCCTGCACGATGGTTAGGTGTTATTCAGTACTAGCTAGATCTCGCTGTAGATTGCACAGGTAACAATTACACTTTCAAGTATCGCATATATAGCTGAAGATTAAATTAATGCAAATAATTAATCTGAGTCATGTTTAGAGATTGCTACGACAATATATCTCTAAGTTGAAATTTTATAGAAGAATGGCACGTACGCTAGGATTATACACTCTGATTTTCAAAAATAAATCGGTGTTATTATGGATCTGGTTAATTAATTTCCACTGACCTAGCTAGGCATGCAGCACTGAGCTCATATATAGGGCACTACTAATTTTATTTGGTTTTTGTGAACTTTCTTTCATTCTGATAAAGTTAGAAAACAAACTATAATAATAATTAAGTAGATTATAAACCTAATCTAGTTTCTTTTATGTGTGAATCTTATGTATATGAATATATCCATTTACAAATTTCCTTGTTAATTCCTTGATTTTTTTTTTCAATTCATCCATAAATATGAAAGGGTTAAGCAATTTTTCTACTAGCTAGCTAGCTACATATTGCACTCATCATACTGAAATAGATTCCTTTAGATGGTAGGGATAAGGAAATAATTTTGCAGCTTATGTACGTACAGCTAGAGAGTTGGTAGGGAGATGTGTATGTATGTACTTCATAATCAAGTATATTGAATATTAGAATAACTAGAGGGCAAAACACAACTGGTTACATCAATTTATAACTTACACATTTAATTTCAGAAATTTCAATTACTTGGTATTGGATTTATGTCGCATTTAAGCCCAGAAGGATAAGTTGCACATATTCTGACGATTTATTTAACGAAATAGCAGAGTAACTTAGTTTTGATATTTTATGCCTTCATAAGATATACTATTGGAAGATCACTAGAGTGTTCAGGAAGGGGAAATCATGCATTTTAGTTAACTTGCTGTTATCCTTAAGTTGATGCAGGAATTTTTGGTTGCTATTGGATGATTGATCATTGTGTTATACATCTAGGGTTTCCATTTAATAAGCTAATTCTTTTAACTTAAAAACATGCTCACATTGTTGAACGTCTGGTGAGACAAATATATATAATTAGAAATCATTTACCAAGAACATAACATGAGGGTAATAAAGATAGAAACTGTGAAGAGAAAGTTGAGAGAACAGAAACGTTTACAGATTAAAGGTCATGTCCATTGTTTCCATATCAATAATAATCAAGTATGTATACAAGACTTCAAAGTACATATCCAGATAATTGACCCCAAAAAAAATACATCTAGATAGGCTACCAAAGAGTTCTACACTGACTAATGTCAACAACTCTTCAATAAAATATTGTATCAAATGGATCTCCGAAACACTTCAACCATACTGAGATCCAAATTTGCAAATTTTCATAGACTTCTGCCTTGTTTGCTAGGCTTCTGCATTGGGTATTCTGCGAGTATTCAAAGAGGAAAATCAAGAGAAAGTAGAAGTTTGAGTATAGAATTTAGAGAAGAGATGTCATGCATGCAAGAATTTTTTTTCTCATAATATTGTATGCATAGCCAAAGATGGCAAGAATCTTTAATTCCCATACTACGTACTCAAAGAAAGTCAATGTGATCATATAAAAATCAAACCAAAAAATAGTTGCGAACCATATGTACAGATCCTTATGCAATTATCTTATTAGAAAATTTAATATTTTTATAAGAAATCTAATATTTCATTAGAAAATGCATAATGTGCGTTCATTTTCTTAGAGATAGACCAATGAAAAAACAATTATGAATAATAATTCCTTCTGATGCACAATATTGTAATTGACATAGAACTAATTTCTATATTCTTTTGCATGCTGACTAATTCATAATAAACTAAAATAGTACCATTCATAACTAAGCATGTGGTTTTCTACTGATAGTTAAGTAAACATTGTATCGATTTAGAGAGAACGTATGACATATAAAAATCAGTTTCATTATTTCATTAAGGACTAAATGATTATGTAATTAAGTATGATTGTTTGATATTCACAGGATTACTGAACTTGAGGAGCAATATGAACACATCTTCACATGTACCGCCAGGGTTTCGATTCTACCCTACTGATGAAGAACTTGTAGATTACTACTTAAGAAAGAAAATAGCTTCCAAAAGGATTGACTTAAATGTCATAAAAGATGTGGACTTATACAAGATTGAGCCATGGGATCTTCAAGGTGACATTAACATAAAACTTTGACCTTAGTATAATTCTTATTATTATGTCTTCCTTTGTGTTCACTAACTAGTGCAATATTCAAGCAGAATATTGTAGGTTAGGGGCAGAAGAGCAAACTGAATGGCATTTTTTCAGCCACAAAGACAAGAAATATCCAACAGGAACTCGAACGAATAGAGCAACGAAAACTGGATTCTGGAAAGCAACAGGAAGGGATAAACCAATCTACAAAAGAAATAATTTGGTTGGCATGAGGAAGACCTTAGTTTATTACATTGGTAGAGCACCAAATGGACAAAAGACAGATTGGATTATGCATGAGTATCGACTTGAATCAAAAGAAAATGGAACCTCTCAGGTAAATGACTTGCTTAAGAATTGAATCAGTCGATATGTTTTCTTGGTAATTATTTGATTTTTTTTCCCTTCTAAATATTACCACAACTTATAGATTGTTTTTCATGTATAACAATATAATGGAAGAGATTAACTCCTAATTAAACTCCTTGTTTTGTTAATTAATTTAGCTTCTAATTATAAAATACTTTGCATTCACTAAAGAAAGATATGGTATAGCAGTTTTCATTTGGGATCTTAATATATAATCTAAAAAACTTGAAACAAAAATATTATTCAACTTTAGGTAAAATACATTTATAGCGACCCGTAACTTAATTCAAAGTTAAAGTGGTCCATATTCAAAGGCACAACAGAAATTACTAAAAAGAAAAAAAATAAATAACCAAATGTACACTTTGTAGTAACACCATCTTTATTGAAGATTAGGCTATTCATGAAAATTCAGACTATTATTACCATGTTTATAGATGATAAAAGGTATAATTTACTTAAAATTAAAAAAGATTGCTAATAAAGTTCCAGTATAACTCAACTTGTACGTGTTGGCATGCGATATATTGCACTTCTGTACAACATTTGTAGGTCTCTGCCATGTTTAAGGAAGTGTAGATACTGCATATATACTAAAGCCTTAACCTATGCCATATATCTCAGGAAGAGGGTTGGGTTGTGTGCAAGGTGTTCAAGAAACGAGTATCGACAGTAAGGAAAGAGAATGACACTGAATCCTCACATTGGTTCGATGAAAAATTCTCCTTCATTCAAAACCTGGACTCTCCAAATCAAGATTTTTACTCGCAAAACTACCCTTTTCATCAGCTGCCTCCGTTACAGAGCTCCAAGATTCCTATTTTCAGTAACAACGCTGGAAGTTCCCTCCAAATCCCTTATTTACAAAACCAACTTCAAATGATCCCAAATTGCAGTAACAGCGACAATATTGATCGAATTACAGGTGAAGTAACGGATTGGAGGATCCTTGATAAATTTGTTGCATCTCAGCTTAGCCAGGATGATGTTTCTAAGGAGAACAATTATAGTAATACAGCAACTGAGGAGAATTTTCTTGTTTCTGATCACAAGAAAGAAGCACAGGTGGAATGTGAATCAACATCAAACCCTAATTGCCAAGTTGAGCTTTGGATGTGAAGAGTGCTATGTGGTGCATGGGCTTAATTATAGTAATATGTATTTATGTATGTATTATTAATTGTAGGTGTTATATATGGTATTGAACAATAATGGATGGACAAACCATTATGCATGGTTAATATATATTATGTACATAATCAGTTTCAGGGATACTTCCCATATATATAATACTATCATATATATTAAACTCAGTACTGTATGAGTATGTAAGATATTCAACATTTATTTGAGATTTTAGAGATATTATGTGATGTGTACACTTATGGAGCTTTGTAATTGATCAACTATGAGAAATCTTATTTCTACTGTTTTCTTGAAGAAGAGTTAGCTAATCGAAAAATCGGTTGGCTAGATCCAAATAGACACTAATTGTATTTTAGGACTAATTTATATATATCTCCTTCGAACCTTATATTGACATATCCTCTTCTAATCTTCAAAAGTCTATGCAACCGCTTGAAATCTCTTAATTATCTCAAATATCCCAAAATGTTTAAAAAATACATTGTTTCCTACATATTTTTGTTCCACACATTTTGGCTTTGGAGTGGGGATCTTTGAGTCATTTGGAAAGTTACTTCAGAAGATTTAAAGGCTTGAAAGGGATATATGAAATATTGACATTACAGGGGAAAGGGAGTATCAAAATGCGAAAGATTTGAAAAGACTATAGGTATACATAAAGTAAAGCCTGTATTTGAAGTTACTCAAAACTTTTTCCCTTTTTTTCATTTCATGATCTATTAGAAATCGAACTCAAGACTAGAGGAGTCATATTGAAACCTCTCAACTGTTTGGATCACCAGCTATAGGTGAAAAATCATATATTAAAAAAGAATGTAGTACGTTGTATTTCCTTAACATTCTAAATTAGTTAAAATGTCCTGTTTTATCTTTTCGTTCCTGGATCCACAAATTTATACTACATGATTCATTTTTGAAATTCTATCAAAAAATGACAATAAAAATAAATAGAATACAACTAATTATAGATTTATGTGTGCAACTCGATCAGTAGCCATAAATAATAGTAAACCAGTGTGAAATGTAAAATTGTTATTACACACAAGGTTCATTTTCACAATCAACTAATTGGTATTGGACCAATAATTGAATTTTTTGCAAGAGATGGAACTTATTTGAAATGCTTATTTCAAGGAAAATAAATATGGCTATAAATATAGATAAGCTTGACAAATACACATGATTGTGCAGCATGTTTTTTGGAAATAAGGAATTTATTACCTTTGCTCCGGGGCAAAAAGTACAAAAAAATTTAAGAAACAAATGCAATATTATAAGTTGAACTCCAAAATTACTCTTCAAAAAGTATCATAACATTTAAATGAAGAGTAGTAAGAACCACACTACAAAACCTATACTAATTTTGTATCACCACAAAGAAGAGAGTGGAGTTCATGGTGATTCACATTTTTTTTTCTTTTTAACAATTTTTCAAGGAAGGACACCATATTTGTTATCAGTAGTACAAAAGTAATGCAACATTTTCACAGTGTGGTTAGCATTTTCCTTAAATCAATGCTATGAAAATATTTAGTACCCCAAGAAAAGTCTATTACCAAACTGTAGGATAGATTTTTCCTTTTTTTATCAGTAAGGAGAATAAAGAAATTAAATGAACATCTTTGGTTTTAACACTTCTTGAACTGACATTATGAATTCTTTTTTTTTAACAAACCATTAAACCTAAAATTGCAATAAAGGAAATTAAGTATATTCATGAAAGAGTATGTATTGACTTTCTCTAAACATACATCTTGACCTCTCCTATTTCCTCTTATATTTGATTAAATAATATATCTATTATCAGAATAAATTTTTTAAGTTTAAGAAATAGTGGCATGCGCTATGATCATGAGTTTTTTTAAAAGTAAAAGAGTTAAAATGGGATTGGAAGAAACAACGTACAAAAAATATTTAGCAAATTGTGCTAAGGAGTGTGTAAAGATCCTCTGGTCGTTAGATCATCTGGCTAGAAATGAAAACTTCTGATTCCACTTTTTCTTTTTCTTTTGGATAAATCTGATTCTAGATTAATTTACTCAAAAAAAAAGTTACATCATTAATAATGTATTTAATTTTTTTAAGAATCATAGTAGCTAGTCTAGAACAGTTTAAATCATCTTGCTTCCTAAAAAAAAGTAATCTATTAAAATAACCAAAAATATTCATTAAGAAAACATAACATTAAAAAACTGAATCAAGGCAGAGGTGCACGTTAGCAAACAGATCGCCTAAACATTCATTTGTTTTGTGGCTTGTATCCCATTCAAGGCTACTAACTCAAGATCGTTTATGCCGAATGAGGATCATCAATATCAACAAATGTGTGCTCTGCCAAGCTCAATGTGAATCCTGTCAGCACTTGTTCTTTGATTGCCAGTTTTCAGCTCAACTTTGGAACAAAGTTATGGACTGGCTGAAATTTACTAGGAGGTCATGCAATTGGAGTCATGTTCTCAATTGGTATTGCTGTAACCTAAAAGGCAAAGGATTTTTGAAGAAGATTAATTAAGAGAATGGCGCTTGCTGTCACAGTGTACATGATATGGAGAGAGAGGAACTGGAGGATTTTTCAAAGCAAGACTACAAACATTGATTCCCTCTTTCGTGAAATCAAGATGTCTATATATTCAAGGGTTTTGTATCATAATCTTCCTTTACGTACATTTGAAGGAAAAGCTTGAGATGTTGTAATATTTGAGGTGTATGTGGAGGGTTTCCAGGATTGTGCCTGGTTTAAAGGATGTATGATATAACTGTTCATTTGGTTATGAATAAAATTTCATTCATTGACAAAAAAAAAAACATTTAAAAAACTGAAGATGATACTTATATGATTTTCTTCTTATGATCATTTCAAGCATGGACTAGTTGCTTAATTAATTTGTGACAGTAACAATACTGGAAAGAGCATGTCATAAGTCCAAGTCAGTTTACCAAATATTTGCTACAGCTGCAATCTTCGGCTTACAATAGCCAGAGGGACTCACCGAAAGATGCAGCTTGGAGCAGGTTCGTATATGGCCAGCTTCATCTTTTTCACCTATATATTTCTCAAGAAAAAAGTAGTTATGTTAGTAACAAATCTACATTTCTGTTGAAACATAACAAGCAAAAACTTGAAGATAATAAAAGACCTTGAAGTAGTACATGAGTACAAGAATTACGAAAAAAAAAATTATAGAGTAGAAAGAGAAGAAAGGAGCGTCGATCACCTTCCTACCTAGTGAAAAATGAATGGAAGCGATACACCCCCCACAAATAAGACTTGGGGACGCGAGGGACATATTGATAGGAATAGTTCTGCTCCCTCAACCAACAAAAATAGGTAAATTTAGAGAGGCAAAAAAGGCATAAATATGGCACTTTAAGCCATGCAAACGAAGGCAAACATACTCCAAAGATCCTTACTTTATAATGTTTGAATTCTCTGCACGACATAGTATTATGATTAAGCCCTGACGTGCCACGAACTCATGTCTCATCAATTCCCCACATGAGAGAGAGAAAGAGAGAGGATAATTTTTAGGGTTCTTTTATATATATACCCCTTAAATCATGCACATGTGCAAAATTGCTCCCAAATCTTTGTATTTTCGAGACCATCCCGTAAGTGCTCATCAAGTTTGGAAAAATTAAAATATCCCACAAATCAATAAATCAACTTTGATAGGCTCATTTGTAATACAACGTAAAAAAATGTCAATAAATTAAATAGTCATATTTTAGTTACCAGATCAAACAAAATTGATGGTTTGTTGATTTAGAGGGGTTATTTCTTAAAATTTTGGCAAATAGCTTTGAGGGTAGTTTCCCAAATATGCATGATTTAAGGGGTGCATTAAAAAAAACAAAATTTTTAGCGGTAGGGACTATTCATGACTAATGTTTGCGCATGCATGCATGCATTCACGCTGCTGAAGTGGGATCAAGATGTGTGTGGGATAAAATGAATAATGATGAGGGGAGTGTGTTGTGTTGTGTCGTGTTGATAAGTGTTGTTTGTAGCCCAAGATAGCATCATTTTTGCGTGCAAATGCTCATGCTCATGCTCATGTGAGACCCAGCATGAATCATTTTTATGACTTTAAGCAAGTAAGGTAAACTAAGCAAATAGTACTACACATACGGTTTTATTTTAGGGAGAAAACTCATTAAGGTTTGCCTCAGGCCCGACACAAGGCGAGCTTCCTCTGCCTTGCGCTTTCAAGTGGGGGCCTGCTGCGTTCATATACTATTCATCTAATGAAGGTGGATGCAGATTAATTATATATAAATCTGATATATAGTGTGAATTACACTTCATTAATCGTAGTTAATGTCCTATGTTGAAATAATAAACGCGTTGCCATTTTCTGATATTGTTTACTAATCAATGGAATGAAACACGTAATTAATTAATTAACCTGGAAAAGTATTACTCAAGTTCTCTTTTGGGAGTAGGTAGGAATTCATGATTCACCATGATAATTAAAGAGTTAGCAACTCAATGGATAAAAGGGTAGTCATTACTCCAAGCCCTTTATATAAAGCGTAAACCGCGTATGCGAGTCCCTTCATTTGCTGGATTTTTAATGGCGAGGTGCGCAATTAATAGGTCAAGTATGATTCGACTAGAGAGCTGCTACAGGTACTCAAAATATAGGACCATTGGAGGGGACAGGTGAGGTATCCCCCTCTTATTGCGTAATAAGTTGGTCATATCAGTTCATTATACAATAAGAGGGGGACACCTCACATGCCCCCTTCAATGGTCCCATATTTTGGATCCTTAAGGTATTTTTCGATTTGACTATATATGCTTATGATCTAGATGTATATCACATCAGCAACACAACAATGGATGATCCTTATGTAGAACACACAAGCTCTACTTTACTCTTAGGGGGTGTTAGTTAATAGGAACATTTTTATAATAAAAATATATTTGTTCAAGTGGAATAATTTTTTAAAAGTGCGAGTGGGATAATTAGGAACAATTTTGTAAAGTGAGATACTTTGATAAAATGATGTGGATAATTTGTCATAATCAAGAATTATATAATTAATTTATACATTTTGATGATATAACTACTATTATATATATTTTAAACTTATTATTATTAATTATTGCTTTTTACTATTATGTTAATTATTGTTGAATAACTTTTGGTTAGACTACAAGATATTCTTAATTATTGTTATTATAGCAACTTATAAAAAAAATTCTAATTATTGTTATTATAGTAAAAGCCCCAAAAATTTAAAGTTTTTCTCATTTCTTCCTTTTCCCTTCCCCCATATCTCTTTCCTTGTCTCGCAATTTCAATTATTTTTAAATAAATTATGGACCTATGATTTTATACTAAATTAATTACGTAAATCATATATTCAGTAAGGAGAAGTTAGAGAAGAGTACGTCGGATATGATAGTGTGGTTTGATGGTGGATGTTACCAATGGAGAAGAGGAAATGTAGTAAAGAAATGAAATTATAAAATAAATAAATATGAAAATAAAAAGTAAGAAAAGCAATAGGAGAGTTCTAATTTTTGACCAACTAGTTCTAGGCTAGAACTCTCATTTTTGTTTAAAAGAATGAAAAAGATTATAATTTTTTTCCACCATTATCTCAATTGTCTAATTTTGTTTATAGTTCTATTTGAATAGCAGCACCGTAAAATTTTATCCTAGTTTTAGTTCTAATTGACTAACACCATAAAATTTTATCCCACAAAATACCTCATTCTAATTTTTAAATTCGACTTGACCACTCCACATTATAGAATTATTTAGACATGGTAATTCCACTTTTGCCGGACGTTAATTGGATAAAATTAGCTTAGATTAAACTCTCATATAATTGATCTAGAATGCTTAATAAAATTGTCGATGCTCTATCTTGCACACAAATTCAAACACTTTTTTTTCTCGAAAACAGTGACAAAAAAACCTGGGAACTTTAACCCTCTTCAATCTTAGTTATACATAATAGGGAGGATAATATTCTTAAACATGGGATGTGATAGGGCATTATTTGTCTAATTATTTGTTAATATATTAAGCATGTTAGTAGTGGTAGAGTTATCATCTACATACTCGATGAACTCTGCTTCCGTAAAAGCCCAACGGCTTGGCTTAATGATGTCTAAGCCATGTGCTAATCAACAATAGTTCGCAAAGTCATTAAGAGCATATTTGGAAATTAGTCAAGGTGAATTATAATCCACTTTTATAAATTATAGCTCATTGTTTTAGGTGTTTGATAGAATTATAATGCATACCTTTTTTTTTTACGATTATAACGTATGAAGTTTGATCAGGTAAAAGATAAATTTACCTCCTCTCATGACTGTTGGGACAAACCCGGGGCCTAATAGAGCAGGGTCGCAGCAATAGTAGAGCAAAAGTAGAGATAAAATGTTGGACACACAGATTTACGTGGTTCGGCACTTGATTGCCTACGTCCACGGGCAAGGATAGAAGAATTCACTATGAGGAAAAAACTCTGGAGTTACAAACTCTCTCTTTACAAGGAGAAACTCTCTCTATTTTTTTCTCTCACTCTTCTTATATAAGAAGTTGTTTCTGGGATGAAATTTCCTTAAGGATTTGGAGCCCTATTTATAGTTTTTAGAAAAATACTATGCACAATAAAATATTAATATTTTACTGTAGCTGTGGGGTCCGCTCTTTTGTTTTCTTCTCAAATTTTCAACATATGTGGCTGTGCACTTTCGGTGGGTTTGGAATATTAGGCACCTGACAATCTCTCACTTAAAGATTTGATTGAGCATCAATCATATCTTCACACCATTCTTTCTATCTTGCCATCTTCATGTTGCTTACGTCTCCATCAGACCACAAGAGGATCGACACCAAATAAATTTGTCAGTACTGACTGCTTTGGTCAAAAAATCTGCTAGGTTGTCTTTGGTGTGAATTTTCTGCATATCCACTGTTCCTTCTTCCACTTTCTCACGAACGAAGTGATACTGAACTCGAATGTGCTTGGTCTTTGAATGAAAGGCTGGATTTCTTGCCAAATGCAAAGCACTCTGACTGTCACAAAATAAAGATATCTTCTTTTGTTCATAGCCGAGTTCCTCCAGCACCATCTTCAACCACATCGCTTCTTTACTAGCTTGTGTAGCTGCTACATACTCTGCTTCTGTTGTTGAAGTAGCCACAACTGACTGCAGTTTTGAAACCCAGCTTACAGCTCCGCCAGCAAGTGCAAACACATAACCTGTGGTGGATTTGCTATTATCACGATCACCTGCATAATCAGAATCAACATATCCACTGACAATAAAATCAGATCCCCCATAACATAATGCAACATTTGAGGTTCCTTGAATGTATCTTAGAACCCTCTTTACAGCATTCCAATGCTCTTTACCAGGATTCGCCATGTATCGACTAACCACTCCCACTGCTTGTGCAATGTCTGGTCTTGTACAAATCATCGCAAACATTAAGCTTCCCACTGCTGATGCATACGGCACTCGAGACATCTCCATCCTCTCTTCTTCACTTCTAGGACTCATACTGGAGGATAACTTGAAATTACACTACAAGAAATTACGTCTTTAACGAAGGGATTTCCCTTCGTTAAAGAGCTGAAAACCTTCGTTATAAATTCCCTAGCCAACTGAGCCTTTAATTCTTTGATACGATCTTTGTTGGGGCCTGCAACCAACATGTCCTCAATATACAACAATAAGATAACAAAGTTATTTTCACCAAACCTCTTGAAATATGCACAAGGGTCTGAATTAAGTCTGTTGTATCCAAGGCTCATGATGAATGAATCAAATCTCTTGTACCAACACCTCGGTGCCTACTTTAGACCGTACAGAGATTTGTTCAATCTGCAAACCAAGTTCTCTTTTCCTTTTTCTTCAAAACCTTCTGGTTGGAGCATGTAAATTTCTTCTTCAAGATCTCCATGAAGAAATACTTTTTTCACATCTAGCTGCTCTAGATGTAAGTCAAATATAGCGCTCATAGCCAGGACAATTCGGACTGTTGTTAGTCGAACTATAGGAGAAAATATTTCATTAAAATCAATACCTTCTTTCTAAGCATATCCTTTTACCACCAATCTAGCACGATACCGCTCCACTTGATCATCGCCATTTCGCTTGATCTTGTAGACCCATTTGTTTCCAATGGTCTTTCTTTCTTATGGCAGTGACACAAGTTCCCAAGTCTTGTTCTTATGGAGAGCTTCAATTTCTTCCTGCATTGCTGCCATCCACAAAGATGCATCTGTGCCATTTATAGCTTCATGAAAAGTTGATGGCTCTCCATCTTCTGTTAGAAGACAGTATGCAACATTACTCTCCGTAATATACTCCGAGTGCCAAGTCGGTGGTCTTCTCT